TTGTCTGAGCGCCTGTTCTGGGGCGGACCCGTTCCGCGACAACCCTGCCCGCGGCTCGCAGCGCCGTCCGATGCCGTCCCAAGATCACCCCTCCACGGAGTGAGTAATTCGCGCCGGATGCCAGAGCGCTCAAGCAGCGCATCCCTGGAAAGCTCCCTCGAGGCGCGGCCGACGCATTATCCCCCTCCAATCCGAAAGAAAAAACTTGGCTGAGACAGATACGGCGGTGATGATGTTAATGGATTGTGCAGATACATGTGTTCTTTCAGCTCTCATCGGGAAAACTTCGTTCGCCGTCAAACCCGACGGCAGCGCGGCGACTTGAACCCCAGACAGTGCGAACCACAGGGTCTCTGCACTCGACAAGACAACCGACCCCGAATCAAAAGTGCTGCAGAAAAAGGCGCCCCATAATCTCATGACTCTTGGCTGGCTTGGCGGGCGCAGGCTTCGCAGCGGCCTTCTTCAAGGCCTTCGCCGCCTTCGCAGAAGTATGCGCTGCCGCCATGTGTTCCACCGCCACGCCAGCTTTCTTCTCGCCCGGGCTCGCGGCCGTGGCGCCCTTAGTCACAAGCGCGTAAGCCTTCCGAGACATCACGTCGAGCTCCTGGGCCTTCTCCGAGCTCAGCAGCCACCGGTAAACCTGGCATGCAGTCACAAGGCCGAGGTCCTTCAAGGTCTTCTCGCCCACTGCCTTCTTGGCCTCGTTGATGCGAAGCGTGAGCGCCTCCATGCCGTAGACCTGGGTCTCCGTAGCGACGCCATCGACCTCTTCTGACTTCTTGGCAGCGCAGAAGTTAGCCACGCGCTGGCCCGCCTGCCCCGTCGGGGTGTTTGCCGGGAACTCCGCAGCGCAGGGGCCCTCGCCGCGCTCCATCTTCGCGATCATGGCGACCAGGCCGTTGACGACGCCCTGCGACGCGGGGCTCGCGAACTGCCAGGCCCTCGCCCCAGTCAGAGCTCGCAGCTTCAGCAGACAGCCCCCGAACTTCAGCTCCTTCGCGCCGTCGGGAAGCTCGTCGATGGCCTGCGTCACGAGGAAGGCGCCGCCCTCCGTGCCAGCCAATTTCCTCATGTAGGCCACCTCGAGATCGAACGTGTCATCGGTGTTCTCCCAGAGCGCCCTCTTAGACTCCATGAAGTCCGGGACGTCGCCCGGCTCATTGAAGACCGCTGTTTTCGACACCCTGTCCATCTCCTTCCGCGCGTCTCTGAACGGCTTCAGAACGGATTCGGCGAACTCCCGCGTGGTCTGGACCACGGCCTGCTGACCGCGGATCTCCTGCTCAATGGACATCAAGTCCAACTTGCCGTGATTGACTGCCAGCGTCTTCACCATGGCCTGGACGCGGCGGTGAGCGAGGTCAACGCTGGCGTGGCACTTCAACGTGGCAACCGAATCCATGAACGGGATGTCGCAGCCCCCCCCCACGGTGACCATCTTGTCTATCTTGAGCCGGCTTGCCTCCGCCAGCATGCCATCCGAGAGCTCCCCCAGCGTATCGGGGTTCACCGGCTTGTCCGAGGCGGCAAAGACGGCGGCCTGGTCCTTCATGTAGCCGCATACGTGCGCCGCCACGACCTCGGGCCAGAAGTCGAGGAACAACTCGGCACCGTGCATGGACCCAGTCGAAAGGGCGCTGAGTTGGGAGGCCACGTTCTCCCAGCTACCCTCCTCCGACAAAACCGAATCCACCATGGCTGGATCCAGGAACATGCCCGCCGTCTTCCTGTACTTATTCCAGAAGATGGAGACGTCGTACTCTGTGTCCTTCCTCGGCTCCTCGGCGAAGAGCGATTTCAAGCCCTCCTCCAACCCTGGCATGGCGACGCCGAGCTCCTTCTTGCAGTCCTCCAACATCTTCAAACGTTCGAACGCGGAGAAGACCTGCACCACGAGGCCCCCGAACTTGGGGCAGCCAGCGACCTGCAGCTCCACGAGAAGGTCCACGATCTTCACCACGGACTTATGGTTCAGCTTCGTGCGCCGCTGGCGCAACCGATGGATGAGGGGCTCCTTCTTGCGATCCCGACGCTGCCGCGCTCACGCAACAGCGATGACCTCCGCCAGGCCGTCGTGGAGCTCCTGGCTAGGGTTCGCTGCCCCTCGCCGAGTCGCCGGCGTGGGCTCCGCCAGCCGATCGAGCGCCATGGCGGCGGCGTGCTGGAGAAAAGCGCCAGCTCCGCCGGCGCTCCGCGGCTGCTTCCGCTTCAACGACTCCAGCCGTACATCGCCCATGCTGCGACGGGGGGCGGGCGTGGCCGCGCGGACCATGGGCAGCATCAGATTGACGGCTGTCTTGGCCGAGTGCGTGGGCGCCGCGAACCCTTTATGGACATGGTGCTGTTTTGCTCCAGCGCCGCGCATCTGCCCCCACCGCAAAATGCCCCACGGGGCCTTCCGCATAAGGTCGAAGGCCTGCTCGACGCACGCCATGGGGTAGCCGAGGCGCAGCAAAGCCTGAACCTTCGCGAGGATGGGATCCGGCGGGGCGGCAACCTCCGAGGGCTGGAGGGCGGCGCACTTCTCGGCGACGTCGCCGCAGCAGACCTCGAAAATAGGCTTCCGCAGAACGGCAAACACTTTCCAGTCCACGTAGGCTGCGGCATGATAAAAACTTCGGTAGACATCGCTCTCCAAAGCCTCGGCGCCCAAGCCTTCGACGTGCATCGCAAGCCTTTGAAATACCAATGGAGGCAACGCGTGCAAGTACTGGATACCCGAGTGGACAGCGTCGACGAACTTCGCCGGGTTCTTCGCGACGCGGTCGTCCTTCAGCAACAGCGCGTGCATGCGGTCGGTCGCATGCGACGCGAGGGCCGTCTTGCAGACGAAACGCTGCGCAACGGGGTCCAGCAGGTCATAGCAATGAGAGTACCACTCACCCGCGCCTGGCTGGGCGCGCGTGAAAGCCATGTGTTGGTCCAGACCGCGCATCAAGGCCATGCATAAACCCTTGCACGACCTCCCCAGGCTGAGGAAGCGCGAAGTCGTAAACGTCGTCAAACGGTAAGCTGCCAGCACAAGAGAACCCACGTGGCCCAGCGGGTCCGGCATCTCGCACACTCGGGAATGGCAGCGGAGGGAACCGTTTTCCCAGCGAAGATCGATCTGTGACATGGCCTCGGCAATGTGCGGTTTGGCGCCCATGGCCAACCACAGCTCGCGGACGGCGTCCATGTCGTAAGGGTCCGCGGACACCTGAAGGTCCCGCAGCCACTCCGGCAAGGTTTCCATGAGCGTGTCGAGTGTGTCCCTAGCGGACCGGATGGCCTTGAATATGTTCTTGTACATCGCGTCCTTGCCGTCGATGCCAAATGAGCAGCTGACACACAAAGCATTCTGCACGTCATGGTCGGCACACGCCGAATCCACTACCCAATCCAGCAACGAGGCTCGATGACGAGCAGCGGGATCGGGAATGCCCGCGAGATCTTGGAGATGCCGCCGCCGCATGCACCTCGAGAGCGAACCCTTCTCACCACGGTCGAATACATACCAGCTCAAGTTCACCCCGTCCGGGTGCCACCACGGCACAGGGCAGAACCGCTCTGCAGCACCGTTCAAATACCAAGTCTTCTTACTGGGCATCTCCACCGGGGCCTCGAACATGGTCCTCGCTTGCAAGCGCTGGTGGTCATCCCGGAACACGAAGTATGCGCGGTGCAAGAGCCATTCCACTGGCTTGTTTGTCTCGCGATGTTCTTTCTTGCCGTCCACAGACACGCAAGTCCGGAGCTTGTGTAACATAGGCGTAAGGTCGCTGCCGTAGATCATCAGAAGAGGCCTGGAACCCGCTGAACGGCAGAAGCCTTGAGCGTTCTGGCGCATGTAACGGGTGCCGACAACGACAAGCTTTTCAACAACGTCCTCAGAAGAATCTAAGACCACGAAGACGGGGGCATACTTCTCGACCAGGGATGCGAAACCCTCGGCCTCGGCATCGTCTGTCATGGTCACCTGCGGGCCGCCGACACTCGAAAGACTGCGCCCCCCTCGCGCCTTCAGGAAAGGCTATAGTTTGAGCCCAAACGGCAACGATGCAATGCCACCCCATGCTCGGAAGTTGACGACAGCCTACTACGAGAAGCCTGGATAACGATGCGAACCCGACCTGAAGCTCTCGCAGGGCCCGAATGGAGCCTCTTGGAGTACTTTGGAATCTTGGGTGCCTCTGGCGGGCGTTCCGGGGGCCACTCAAACGTCCTGCGTGCTCGATCGCAAGATAGCCTCCAACACAGCACATGGGAGCCCAAAGGAAGGACCACCACGGGGATAACCTTCGCAGCGCTGTGCATTTCGAGTAGGAGCAGTTATGAGCAGCAATATCCCCAATCCTCCCTCTCCTCCATCCTCTCCCCCCCTCGTCCCATACCGTGTTCCAGTAAATTCGAGTAATTTGAAAAACTGCGTTCCGTACGGCCTGGACGGGGGAGGAAGGGGCAGCGCACGGTCATGACGTCCACTATAGCCCAGAACGGCCCGAAGCTGGGTCCAAGTAGTTCAAGATGGCCTCCAAGATGGTGCAATAGTGCTATCCTTCCCGTGTTAATCCAGCCCCTCCCCTTCCTGCAGATAATGCTTTCCTCAGCCGGGGGGGGTCTGAGTTAACTCTACTCCCGCACCCTCCCTCTACCTTCAAGACGCGGGTAAACTATTTCTCAAAAGGGGGTGCGGGAGTAATTTACGAATTTACTCCCAGACCCTCCTCTACCGACCCCCTCTGATCCTCAGATGGGGGTGCGGGCGTAACCTTTACTCCCGCATTTAGTCCACGCTCCTTCGACCTACAACCGTGCATAAAATCCAGGATGCAAGCTTACAGTATTGCTATCCTCATGTTTCCTTGCAGCCCCATGGACCTTTCCTCCACGCACCCCGCCCTCCCATCCCTCGCCCCTGCTGTTCTGCCCTCTTATTTGTCCTGCCCCTCCCCTTGCACCAGCCCCTGCTCCTCTCTCCCTCCTCCTCCACGTCCTCTTCCTCCTCCCCTCCCTACTCACGAGCCGAACAGAAAAATGAGAATGTCAATCTACCCTTTTTTCCAAGAAAATTACAGCTTGCTTCTCTTTGCTGCGTCGGGCCTGGTTGGCTGTGCGCAGTGATTTGCTAGGCTCGGGCCTAGATCCCGTGCCATGAAGACCTACGTAATGCGATCGTCCCTGGGCCTACTGCTGGAACTATCTACATGCCCCTGCCTCTCCTAGACCTCGTGCCTTTTCGTGGGCGTGAGCGAGGCCAACCTAGAATCCGAGAACCCTCCTCAGTCCCGCTGCCGTGCAAGCAACCCGCACCTGTCGCAATACCGGGCGTGTGCGCAGGCCAGGCCGTGCGACTCGCGTGGGATGTGCTTGCAGTTTACAGCGCTGAGGACAAGTGCCAGCAGCGGAAGGAATACAGACAATTAAGGCATGGCAACGTTTCATTGATAACTGTGGTGCGGGCCTCCTCCTCCCCCCTCCCCCCATCCGCAGCATGCCCGTGCCAACAAAAAAAAAAAGGACGCGCCTGGCCCGGGACGCGCTCAGACCACCACCGTGCTGCGTGCCGGGCGTGCCTCGACGGGCGCGCGCCGCGGCCCCGGCCGCGCCCCCCCACGACACAGGCTGGGGGTTCGCGCCCGCGGGCCCGGCTGCAAGAGCGGTCGGCAGCGCCAAGCGCTTCAGACCACGATGGGGTCCAGCGGGAGCAGCGCCTCTGGGCGGCTCTGCGCCCAAGGCACCTGCTCCGCCAGGTCCTGGACAGCCACGCCGCGCGAGCCCTCCGGAGAGCTCGAGGCCAGGCGCCGGCGCTCCGGGAGGTCGCCCACCGGAGCGGCGGGGAGGTCGTCCACGGACGCGGGCGTCGGACTCGGGGCGCTGGCGGCTGGAATGGTGGGGAGCTCGTCCACGGAATTCGGCCTCGGGGCGCTGATATCGGTCTCGTTGGTGTCGTTCACGGAGGGCGGCGGCGCGATGAAGTCCTCCGGCGGCATGCAGCGCTCGACGGCGGAGTCGATGTCCTTGGCCCCATTGACGGCCTGGTTGAGGATGGATACGATGTCCTGGGCGCAGAAGAGGCCGGCGCCTTTGATCTTGGACGGGCAGTTGCTGACGCTCGAGATGATATCCTGGCCCATCTCGCTCAAATCCTTGATGCCCGCCAGGATCTGCTGGGCACACCCGCTGTCCACATTGCCGCAGTTGAAGGTTGCAGCGGACACCTCTTTTCCAACGGACCCAATGTTGGCGAGCAGGCCCATGATCTGATCCGCGCAGTCCCGCTGCATGCCGCTGACGTCGTCGTTCGTCACGGACGAGACTGGGATGCAGTTCTCGACCGCGCGCACGATGTTGCCCACGATGCCCACAGCGTCGTTGAAGGCGGTGGCGGCGTTGGTCGCGCACGACGCGGGGTTCGGCGCAAAGCCCTCGGCCGAGGCCAGCAACCCCGCGAGCAGGGCGCACGCCCGGCGGGCAGCCATCGCGCTCGCGAGCGGCGAGGAGGGGGCGAGATCGCGCGGCGGATCGCGCGGCCCTGGTGCGCAAGCGGGCCCCGTGCTTGAGCCAAAATGGCTACGGAATGTCAATCTACCCTTTTGGTTTCCCCCATTCCCTCCAATCCGCTTCCACTCCCTCCACGCATCCCTCCTGCCTTTCCTGCTGCCTGTCGCCCCCCCTCTCTTCGACTTCATCCCGTTGCTCCCCATTCCTATTCCTTCTCCCCGAGACCACGCGCAAAAGAAAGATGCATGTTTAAACTTGCTTGCCTGCTCCTTAGCGCAAAGGCGCCCAAGCGCACTCAGCAACCCAGCGCACCAAGCGCACCAGCAAACAGCCCTAACACCACGCACAAAGCAAGATGAATGCTTAAACTTGCTTTTCTGTTCGTTAGCACCCATCACACCAGCAAACAGCCAGCGCACTCAGCACACCAGGCGCACTAGCACACCTGGCACGACATGACACCAGGCACGCAAAGCACACCGCGGACACACCAAGCAACACAAACGCGCTATGGAGATGGAATTACATGATTACTTTGAGGAGCGAACAACTATTTCTCCCAAGCTCGCCGGCAAAACGCGCCCCACCAGCGCACCAAGAACGCGCCAGCCCTGTCAAATCGCATAAATGTGTTCCCGCTTGCGTGCGTGTCCGCGTGCTTGTGTGCCTGGTCGGTTGGCGGCGCGCTAGCGGCGTACTGGCGGCGCGCCACGCGTGCGTCGCGAGCGCGAATGCGTTTTCGCAAGCGATGTCCGTGTGAAACCCCGATCCCGCCAAACGGAAAGGATACCCGAAACTCAAAAAGAAAAGCTAACATATGCGCGTCAATCTGTGCTGCCTTCACAAAAAACACTTGATCAAAAAATTGCGAGCGCTTCCTGCTTCAAAAGCAGCATTCATATACATGAAACATGTGTGAACATGTCATTATCCCGACTGCCCCTCCCCGTTTTGGAAAAAAGGTGGTTTGAATCCCACCTCCCGGGTCAATCCCCGGGAGGGCCTCTAGGGCAAGGCAGGGTCAGTCCCACTGCCTCAGGGAAACAAAACACCCTTTGACCAAAACCCCCCATCCCCCCCCGTTGTCCCCAAGCCCCCTCCTCCTCCTTGCCCTCCTTATCATAATCATATTTCCTTCCTCGGCCCTTATGTCTGTCTGGCAGGACCTCCACCTCATGAGGCAACGGTCGTCTTGCCCAAATGTCTCGCGCATGCTCTTAACAGAGGGGAAGTATGGGAGAATGCGGGCAGGAACAAAGACACGGAAAAGGAAGACGGGCGATGAAACCTATGCGTGACGGGACGGGGACACGAGAGGCAGGAGGGGAGGAGGGAGGGGAAGGAGGATTTTCCCACACACGAAACGATTCCTGGATACGTCCCAGACAAATCCCATTCTTGTTTATACATACACATAAATGTATGTATGTGGTTGGGATGTGGGAAAATACGAATAAAGGAAACGCAAGGGGCCGAACCGCTTCCTTGAATCACGATCGCGCGCTAATTCACGGAATAGGCGACGTGGTGGACGCGCAGTCGCATCTGATTTCCTCGACGCGCGCATCCTTTGAATCCCCGCGAAAGATCGAACTAAGACTCGGCCGCGGAAGCGGCGCCGCGATTTGGCGCTCACAAACGACGATGGCAAATGTCGTCGCGGATTTACCCCCCAGGGGCAATGCTTCCACAACGACCCCATGCCAATAGTGCAGACTCGCTCTTACCCAGTGAATCCATTTCGTGGGCGCGACGTTTAGTGGTCGTGAGGAGCGGGAATGCAATGCGAATTCCGCGCGCGCTGCGCCTCGCAATCTCGTTAAGAATTCTACGACGGTCAAAACCTTAAAAACCTAAAAAATAATTTCATAATGCAACCCATGCCCTGGTGGGCACGAGGGAGGAACCTGCGAGCAGCGGAGGCGCAGCGCGCGCGCGGGGAGGAAGAGGGGGAATCGGAACCTGCGCGGGAGAAGGAGGAGGGGAGACGCCGATAGGGCCGCCAGCGCGCGCGCGGAATCAATTAGCCAAGGCAGCAAGGCACGCGGCGCGTCGGCGAACGGCGCGTCGCGGCACGGAGACCCGCGCGCGCGCGGCGTGCGACCCGCGCCCAACTCCCGAGCGCGGGGCGCTAGACCTTTCTTTCCCGTTGCCCCGAAAACGCATCCACGAATGCGGGGCGGCCAGGCGAATCCCGAATCGCGAAGGCCTGCGCCGCGCGGACGCGCCCGCGGGCGCGCAGGAAGGGGGGTTCGCCTCAGCCAGCGCCAGCCGCCCCGCAGCATCGGATGAGCAAGCAGAATAGCATGGCAAGGGCCGAACGCACCGCCGCGACTTCTCCCCGCGCCCAAGAGCTGCCCAGGGCGCCCATCCAAAAACACCCGGGGCCAGGGGGGGGGCGGGGGAGGGAAGCGCGGCTACTGCGACACCGCCCGCACGTTCACCAAAGCGTGGCCTGCGGAGTGCGACGACTTGTGGCAGGGCATCCCAGTGCCCCATTGTCGTCCTTGTCGGTCGGTCGTCGTCGTCCTCCTCCTCCTCCTCCTCCTCCCCCCCCCCTCCCCCCCCCCCCACCTCGAGCACTTGTGGCTCAGGTCCATTCTGGCGGGCCCACCTTCTGTTCCTGCACGCGGTGCTTGAAGCACTTCACCCTCGCTCCCCCAGGGAGAGCCGCAGGTGGCGACCAAAACAGAAGGCTTCAGTGCATCATGCCCCGCTCTTGGTCTCGCTGCGCAGCGCGCAGTCGATGTGAATGCAGCGATGCATTGCTTTCGCAGGATCGTTTCTGTCAGGGCTGCAAGCGACGGGTGAAGCTGTGCAAACCTCGCCCCGGTCCTCCTGCGCCCGCAGCCGTCGACCCTGCCAGCGCAGGCGGTGGCAAGCAGTCGAAGAGTGGCAAGGGCAAGGGCAAGGACAAGGAGTTTGGCTCGCTTCCCACATCCTCGCTGGACGCCCCCCCCTCGTTGCAGCTTGCAGTCAAGTTCACGGACAATGCGGACCTGAGGAAGGTCTTGCAGGGCGAGGTGTCCAAGCTGGCACCCGCCCCCGCGGCCGCGGCCGACGGCCCAGCTGAAGCGCTACGACGAGCTGTTGGGGCGTGGAAGGACGCGGACCACAAGCACACCCAGGCGGCCAGCAACGTCGCACGGCTTCAGGCCAACCTGGACACGGCGGTGCAGCGCGAGAATGCCTCCGCCCTGGTGCTCGCCCAGGCGGAGCGGGCCGGGAAGGCGGCCACGGCCGCCATGGCCCACGCCGAGGGCGTAGGCAAGGTCAGCATGTCCAACGACGACGACGACCAGGAGCAGAAGCTCAAATTCTCCCTCAACTGGGATCGAGCCATGTTCGGCGGCCTCGACGACTTGGACTGCGAAGAGAATGAAAGAGCCGAGTTGAAGGAGGTCAAGACTGACCTCGAGCAGCTCCAGAACCATCTGACGGGCAAGGAGGCCGAGGTCTCTGCCATGTTCGAGGAGGCGAAGTCGGTTAAGCACGCCATCGCTGAGCGCTTGAAGAAGAAGCGCAGGACCGAGCGCTGCGACGCAGCCGACGGCAACGATGGCACGCGGACTGACGTTTCTTCGGCTGAGGCATCCCAGGGCGACGCTGGCGGCGGCGCTACTGCTGCGGCGGCGACAGCAACAGCAGCGGCGACCAGCGTGCCCGTCGGCACCGAGGATGACGAGGAGCTGCAGCGCACGGCGGAGATGATCTCGGCCGCCAAGCTGCAGGCCCAGCGCAAGGCGTTGGAGGAGCAGGCTGCGAACGCTGCCAAGTCAGTCGGCAAGGGCAAGGGCGGCGGCTCGGTCGACGCCGATGCCGTGGGCAGAGGCAGCGGTCGGAGTCATTGACTAGGTTCTGCTACCACGAACGACGGCGAGCAGGCACCACTCGCGACGGGCACGGGCGAGGTTTGTTCCGAGGGGCCGTCCACGCAGCAGGGGGACAAGCAGGGGGACTTATCCACTTTTATGTTCGGCAATGTTACCTTATTGGCGACAAATCATGGAGGTTCCTGTCCAGCGGGAAGTTCGATTTTGTGGGAGTTGTCGAGACTCACGTTTCAGAGACCGACGCTTCAGCATGGGATGAGAAGGCTCGGAGGGCGGGCCTCAAACTTTTAGCGAACCCCGCCAGGGGTAGAGAGAGGCGGGTTTCGAAGCAGCAGCAGTCGAGGCCCAACGAGGGGGGCAAATGGGCACTGTGCCAGGGCCACCTGCAGATGCACTCCTTGCTCCCCCAGGGGGGGGCGAGACCTCTACGTGCGGCTGGACATCAACATCTTGACGGTTTCCAGGCGGTCGTTGTGCATATGAACGGCTATAGCGTGGCCATCATCACCTTCTACGGACACCCGTCGTACGGTTTCCGAGGGCCCAGCGTGGCCAGGTTCCAGATGCTTGGGTCCCTGCTGAATACCTTGAGCATGCACTGGGTCGTCATCGGCGATTTCAACATCGGTGCCGACGCCATGGGGAAGTCGCAGTTCATGAAGCGTCTGCCCGGGCACCCTCGCCTACTACGAGCAGACATCGAGTTCACCTTCACACCGGGCTCCAGGGCGGGCTCGCACATCGACTACCTCATCGTTTCTGGGGCTGCCCATTCATATGTTGCTGCAGCCACTCCTGTCGTGTCCGTGCCCTGGAAATCTCACGCGGGCCTCCTGGTGCACTTGCGTCGGTCAGGGCAGCAGCTTCAGGCACGATATTTAGACATGCCCCGCAAGCTGCCGCAGGCTGTGCGCCCTCGCGCTGCCCCGACACCAGGCTCGAAGCGCAGTCGAGCGAAGGCAGAGAGCGAGGGGCGCAGTCGCCAGCGCAGCTCCGCGATGAAAAAGAATTTCGATGTGTTTTTTTTTTTTTGTTTCAGTGATCTCTTGAAGCCCCTTGAGTCTGAGGGGCATCCTGTACCCGACGAAGCTCGGAGCGTGGCCAGTTTTGATGGCCCTGCGGATCTCGAAGAAGACCCCGATGAAGTAGGTTATGTTTCAGAGGAGGGCCCGTGGGTCCACGAGTCTGCGTTTAAACCAGCTGTGCAAAAGGACGTAGGTGGATGGCTTCCCGCTAAGTCTGGCGAGCCTCGAGGT